TGGTGCCCACCATGCCCCTGTCTGGGCAGAGTCAGAGTGTACAGCCCTCTTTTCAAAAACCTGCACTTGCTTGAGACAAGAACAGCCCTGTCTTGGCTACTCCATGACACATGTAGCGAGAAATACATGGGTTCTCACAGTATTTGTTGATAATAAGTTGGTTGTACTTGAACAATCAAAAATTCTTTGATAGACTGAGAGTGAACTTCTGTTCCTTACCCACAAACCTTTAACTTCTATCATCTTTTTTCCAGACTATTTAATAGAGTTCTCTGTTTAATAATAATAATAAATTGAGAACTTAAACTATTTCATGATTAAATGAAAGTCTGGGCTTAATGACTGCCCTAATGTTTAAGGACTCTGTTGCCCTTCCCTCTGGCACTCCCACCCTCAGTTTCACTCCTAAAAAATCAGAAGATGGTAGATGTTTGGGCAAAAGAATTCTTCTTTGTTTAGGTAAATAGCTTTGTCAGTGAAAGCCTTTAGGGTTTTAAAATATTTTTGCTTTTTACGGACAGACTGTCATTACAGACACTTGTAACTGATCTAAAATTTTGACTTGCGTTATTTGTAATTATTTCATCAAGTCATAACTATTTATGAACACTGCAGGGTTTTTACTATTAATATTCATGTACCAAACTATAGTAATCTTTTCACAGTGTGTTCCAGTCAGTTCTCTGCTAAAGCCCATTTTTTAAAGTCCATTTTAAAATGTCTCTTTTAGAATTTCTCTGGCTTTTCATTTTATTACTGACCTACTTGACATTTGAAATCTACTTGCATTGGCAGAAAGTCCTCACTGTTTAAAAAAATTGTAAGTGGAAAATCCAGTTTTAGAAGAATTAGCCAAAACCTCTTTACTAATTTTAACAGTTGAGCGGGTGTGTTTTTGACATAATGAAGAGTAGCCTGTCAGGTCTCTTGATTTAGCCTGTAAGATATACTAACCTGTTACTTAGTGAGTAAAAGCTTTAGTTCAAGTTCTCCTCTAATCAAGTTCATCCTCACAATCAGTGACCCCGCTGTTACCTCCCAACCTTTACCAGCCTCTTGAAACATGATGTTGGGTATGACAGAGACACTGATGCGAAGTGGGGGCAGATCCAATTTCAGCTTTAACATTGATACAGACATATAAGTATCTGTTGATCTACAAAAGAAAGAAGGCTTAGGATGTACCAAGCAGAGTACTTTCCTGTGTGGCTGTGTTTCCCTATATGTTTTGGGGGGAGAGGAGTGTTTTCTCTATCATCTTTCCTCTGTTATTTTTGAAAGATTGAACTTGAAGCATTTAACTGTTCCTTACTCCTATTCATTCTTGGCTTTTGATGTGAAAGACAAATTTTTATTAGTCTGAACATCCTTTTCAGAAGTTCTTACACATTGCTAATAGGACTTAATGACATTCATTCCTATTTCTCCTTTACAAAATTTCACCTGGAATTTGAAAGAAAAATTGTTAGCTTTTTGAAATGGATCCTCTGTGAGTGTCTCTAGTGTCACAGACTCTGAAGTGTCCACCTTATTGCTTCCTAATGTTTTCGCAGGATCCCTAGAATGTCACCAAAGAGATAGACTACTCTGGGGTTTCTCAAATATTATTTCCTAAAGTACTTCTCAGAGCGGGGATTGGGTGGGGGGAGAATATTTACCCCAGGGTGTGGGGTTCAGATCTGAGGGGTAGTTAAAGACATCATTGGCTTCTCACATTTTTCTTTAAAATTCATATAAAACGTAAATATCGATTCATGATGTATTTTTTGTCCTGTTGCACATGCTGTCGTCATGTGCTCTCATGAGTCAGACTGGCGGTGGGTGCAGGGAGACAGTGGAGAAGCAGATCTACAAGGCCCTTGCTGAAGAGGACCTTACATTCTGGAAGGAGAGTAAATGTAAGGGATTGAGAGAGAGAATAAGATGATGCAGGGGAGCTCACTGCTTTGAATGGGATGGTCAGGGAACTCTTCCCTGAGAAATTGATATTTAAATTGTGACCTTCACATTTAAGCTGTGAAGAGTTGGAAAGGGGGGGGGCGTATCTTTCAAAGCAGTGGCTTATAAGGCTCACTATATTATAAAAAGAACATTTCAGAGGGCTCCCTGGGGGTGTAGGGGTTAAAGTCTCAGCACTATCAAACTGTTACCAGCCAATGTGATCTGAGTTTGATCCCCAGCCAGGGGGCTGACCCACGTGGCGCATACGACCTCTCCTGTCTCACCCGCTGCTCCCCTCAGCAGTGTATTTCAGTAGATCCACCTGTTCTGTTCCCCACTGTCTGTGGTGAATCCTCTCACCTGTACCCCAGTTCTTGTATGCATAAATAAATGAAATCTTTAAAAAAAATTTCAAATTATTTTGCAACTAATTTACTTAACTCTCCCCACCACCACCACAAAAATTATAGTAAAATTGGCTTTTGAATTCTTACCTGGGCTATCACCTCCCACTCTTATTGTAAGAGTGGGAGTAAGTCATTAGTAAGTCACATAAGTTTTACCTCTAA